ATTGGCCATAAATCGACACCATGAGTGAGAGGAATGTCCTGGTGTGTGATGGTCAACTCCATTACACCTATCCAGAAATTACTGTGTAATGTTAATGCAACACTACAAAGAGTTGATCTTAAGTCTAAAGTGTTAAACTTACTCTTTCCAATTTGCTGTGTAATGACACCTCATGTCTGTTTTACACAACTCTCTCACAGCAAACGAGTAAATAATCAACAGTCGAGTGTGAAATTAACACTCATAGGAAGTAAGAAGGTGAACCTCCAGTGTTAACCATCAATAACTCAATGCAGTGTTGAAAAGCATGATAATCAGAGTTGATTTGTCACCACAGTGGAGTATCTTATTAACTCTGCTTAGAATCATAATTACTCTCCTTAGAGTTATTTGACTTGAAGTGTTACGTTTTATTAACACAGTACAGTGTTAGTCAATGTTAATTTTTAAACTCTGTTTAGAGTTAAATTGTACTCTGAAAATGTAAAACTATTGAAATAAGGACCAAATAGACTCGGATGCAGTGTTAAATTTTTAATTTTTAGATGTTGATTTAATACTGCAAAATTTACTGTGTAGTGATTTCTGATTTTCTTTGACAGCCTCAGCTTCTTGTTAAACCCACAGAGGTAAACTTTTCACAGGAACAACTCTTTTTCAACAGCAGCAATGACAAGAGAAGACAACAAGGCTTGTCCAGGTTACAAACATCAAATACAACTCAGGAGTTTCTTACATCTCTATGTCCATCAAGACACCTTTGAACATCTCAGCATGTTGCCATCCATTATTTGAAACCCCAATCTAGAAAGTATGAGTATTTAATTTAAACTAGTAACATTTGGGCTCTTATTTGCACACTGAAGCTACTTTAATTTTATTGTAAATAAGCATAAATAACTGGTAAATGTATCGAATACTATAGTGTGTACATGGTATAAATGCGTTTTGCAATCAGCATTTAATAAAACAAAATGCTCAGTATTCAAATATTTAAATTATGGTTTAAAATTAACTGGGTCAAAATGACAAATTTATTGAAAAGCAGATTTTATTTAGTCTTCATCTTCTATTGACATGTACTTTGTAGAATCCTAGTACTGCTGTTTGTTCGTGTTTTCAGTCTTTTTTTTGACTTGGTGTCAGTTTATCTGAACAGCACAAAGGCAGTGCTTGCTTGTTGACATGTGTCTGCTAAAAGGTAAGGCAAACATCTGCTTCCTGTCACAAACCTTCGTATGCTTGTTTTTAGCTCAGCCTGCTATAAAAAGCCACCACTGGGACCACATTCAGTCCTCCAGTACCAAAAAAAAAATGAGTGAATGGGTTGAAATGAAATTGAAAATGAACTTTTAAAGATGTAAAAGGAGTTAGGATCAAATGTTAATTAACTCCACTTAACTCCAGTGTTTTTTAGCTCAAAGGCCACCCAGGACTAATCCCTCTTTCTTTAGAAGTCAGTGCTGCTGCAGAGATAAGTGCAGGGAGTCTATGGTCCATTATACCGCTGCTCAGTTAATCACACAACTGTACTCAGCTTCAAGTCAGGCTTTATAAGCATCTCCCTAAGCAATCTCTAATGGAATACAATTATTATCCAAGGATGAGGGTAGAAACTTAACACAAATCTTCAAATCTTCATTTGTTTCTGCTGTTAAATAAAGTAATAACATAACATCTTAAACTAGAGTTTAGTAACTTTAAAGTAGATATTTTGAATAACAGTTTTATTTTTGCCAGGGTCAGTACCCAAATGGATTTAGTAACAAAGTAATAATACTCTTGATGTGTGCAAATCATGCAAACTCTAATAGTATACAGTATATTAAATGGAGGAGTGTGGGTCAATCAAAAATATAGAACAGATAAAATATTTATTGTTTATAACCTTTCTGAAAATCCTCACTTCAAATAAAATCTTACATTTGATTTAAGTAGTTTGAAATACAGAATGACACTTATGTAAATTTTCTGTTTTGCCACATTTCAAAATAACACACTAAAAAACACCCTCTTTTTTCCT